CCCCCCAATACCTTGAGATTCTTAAATAAAACTAATATTTTTGACAGTTTCCTGGGGGGGAGAAAAAAAAAAAAAAGATGTAATTCTGAACTGAGATATAGCATGTAACATTTCTGCTTTGATTTGGACATACTGGGGGGTAGGAGTTTAAAATTCAGTCTCAGAATAAGAAGTTAGCTTCACCTTGAAAATAATAGGAATCACACGTTTCCATAATGATATTGTACCAGCAACACGTTCTTTGGTTTTGGTTGTTTTTGTTTTTGTTTTTTTTTTTTTTTCTGTGGCTTTTTGCTAAATAAAAAAAGATGTTAAAAAAAAAGAAAGAAAAAAAAAAGAGAAATTAACTCTACAGCTGTGTTGGAGTTAAATGATTATTTTCCCAGTGCAAGAGAAACAAAGTCATGTGTAACAATAATGCCAGAAAACCCCAGAGTGATCTTTATTTCCAGTCAAATGATGAGGATGAAGAAGAAAACAATAGAAAAACAGAGACAAATGTCAATGTTCAGCAAATGTTCCTCATTTTCCTTTCTCCCCCTCTCAATTTGTTCAGGGGTTGCAGCTAACCTATGATTAGTCCAGCTTTACCTCTAACATTTTTTCACATGTTGATTAATGAGGGAAGGCAGGCTTTGAAGCCACTTTCTTCTCCCAGACAGGTGCAGTGTTTTAACTGTGAAAGAGTTGACATGTGAATTATTTGTAAAGAGGGAGCTATCTAAACACGTCATTAGCAAAGGACAAAAGGCATTGACCTAACCTGGTGCCACAGCACTTTCAAATCTGTGGTTGTTTTCCAACTTACTGATTGTTTAAAGATTTGCAATCATTATTGGCAATGCCTCTTTTTCCTCCATTGTTAAATCCAGGTTGTGAAAAATCAAGTGTTTGATTTGCATGGAGATCTTTTCCCTTTGTCAAATATTGTCAGGATCTATGGCATGTGCCATACTTCAGGTAATGTAATTTTAGGCAAACTTATGTGCTTATCATGAAGGATGAAAAGTAGAATTTGTTGATAAAATATTGCCCAAAATCTGCTCCCACTCCACGAAGAAAAGACAGTTAATGGTAATCAATAGCTTCATTTTTGTGGTTTATAATTGGTTCCCTATTGAACAAAATGATGTCTCTTATGTTTAATTCTTAATGTATGCTCAAATTTAAGCATGTCAGCAAGCTCTTTGTGCTTCTGAATTGTTAAATCCTATTCACAAATATTTTAGGAGAGTTATGGATTACGACGTCGGGGGGGAGCAATGAGTCCACAGTTGATTAAAACAAAATGATGTCTTTTATCTAACTAGTCTTTTCACTCTCCTTAAAATTTAATAAAATATGTTTTACATCTATAGGTCAGGAACCAAAAAGCACATTAAGCATTCAAGTGAAAGGTTAAAGATCTACTACCAAGTAATGAAATGCCAGGTGTTTATGAAACTCCAGAGCCCTGTGGGGGGAAAAGTAGAGAGGAAAGACAGGAAGAGTTCTGAACCTATGGGTAAAACAACATAAACAGGATACCAAAAAGAGAAGTGAGGGGGGGAACAGTAATGAAGTGTTGCTCAATACGTGTGAAATCAGAGCCATAATTTCATCCTGCCAGAGGATAAGAAAGGAATGAACAATGAAGGCACAGAGGAGGAGGTGACAGTCACTGTAAATCAATATCCAAGGTTAACACAGGACATTCTGTAAGAATGCTGCTTCATTAAAAATAGGAGTCACGATGGGCTGGGATTAAGGGACACAACCAATTTAGACTCTGTTAGCTTTCTCTGTGGTATCCCAAGACAGATGGGGGTGCAACTCCATCAGTTAACACGTTTACAACTAGAAAGTGACGGCTGCCACACAAATGGTAAATAGTTACGAGTAGCAGGGTGCTGGACTTGGGGGTCCAGTGATCTTTTCAAGTCTAGATCTCCTATTATTCTGCACTCCTTTCACTGAAAATAGGCGAAGCACTGGTGAGGGCTCTTTGGACTGGTGCCCAGACAGCCGAAACAGCCAGCTGGACATCTTCCAAGTGTAGGAGGTACACAGCTGTCAGGACGCTCTAGACTACAATACTGGCAGAGCCACTGATAGGCAGATGCTACTGCTGCAATTGCATCAAGCCCCAAGCTCAAAGAGATCTGTCCAGTTTTCACTCAGACAATGTGGGAACTTGGTCTTTGCATAGTGCCTTATGAAACCCAAATGTCTGGAAATGAGCTGCTTCTTCCCATCCTTTTCCCTAAATTTCTCAAACTTGAGTCTTCAAGTTGACATGAAGCCTGGGCAGAACTGTCATGGTTTGGGGCTTCCTTGTCATATTGCAACACCTGAGCCTCCAAGCACTTCCACCTGGCCCCTGCTCCCGCTTCGTTCTCCCTGTGGAGTGCAGCACCACAAGGAAACACCTGCCCTAGACATATTTCTGCCTACAGCTACTTATTTGTGAATTCATTTATACGTTTTATGCTCCTGTTTTTACTGTAAGAAAGGTACATTTACTTGGAATGAAGTGTCACTAGCTGATAAAATTGAGGACTACTGCCCTATGCTGTAGGTTCAGGAGATGGAAAAGCGGTCTTTTCTAGTCTGTCTCCCTGCTATCTTCTGTGTATGTGCTTGTGGCTTGACCATGATTTCTGTGGTTTAAACTCAGTGTAGTAAATCAAAAGTAGCTTGTGCTCATGTAGCACCTGTTGTTAGGACAATCGATTTTCCAGGAATTTCCTGAAATTAGTATGATTTCACACTGCTAGCGCCAAGTAGGCATGCTTATATACAGTTTACAAACAAGGAGACTAAAGCTCAGTGTTGACCCAACACTGTCAATTGGTGGCAGGAGCCAAAAAATACTTGGCCACAGAACCAGGCAGCCAGACCCACGTTCTGATCAGGCTTTCGTAGCAGTTGATTTCTTGTCTCTGCTGCAGTCGTATCAATGGTAGTAAACAGGCCGATATCCATCCATCCATCAACATATCTATCTATCCATCTACCGACCTACTTACGTACCTACCTACCTAATCTGTACGTTACTGAAAATGGTTACAGCTGATACAGTAGCAAGCCAAAATCTCTCTCTGTCTGTGCCTGTATTATATATATATATGTATTACTTTTTCTGGTGATCTGATCAAATTGTTTAACCCTTCCAAAGTCATTATCATTGAAACTTAGAAAAGAGTAAAACTAAAAGCCCTGGGAGGTCATCTCATCCATCTCTTTGCTCCAAGAGACCCTATTTTGATAAACTACTAGTGAGTTAGAATCATAACAGATGGAGAATCATATGTATGTATACATTTTTTCCCATGGAGTAAAAGAGGGAATCATGTGCAGATTTTTTACATAAAGAAACAGTGTGTAGCTTACCCACTGTGAATAAATCTAATTTAGTCATCTTTATGCCTCCCTGATCTTCATCCTCTGAAGTTTGCTGGAGGGTCAGATGTGCACTCTGGGAAATTTTCCAGATTCTGTGTTGGTTCTCTCTGCCCCCACTTCTCCCCCTTTTTAGACTCACTACTCAGCCTTGCGCTGAAGTTTTTCTACATTATAATAATGCCACCAGCAGTGCTGAGGTTGTGTTTAAGGCCCTGGCTTTGCTGTGGGCTGAACAAGCAGCACGCAGGTCCTTTGGTGCCATTGTAGGCTGCAGCCTCTGCGTGGCAGCAGAACATAGCACGGCTGGGAGGTGACAGTTTTGGACTAGACCAGGATCATTTTCAAAGGAAATGCTGGTGTTGGACACTGGGAGTTAGGGCTTTGCTTTCTACTTCCATCTCTGCTACTAATCTTTATATGGTCTTTGGCAAATCACTTACCTTCTCTGTTCCCCAGCTGCAAAAATACTTAGGTGCCCAGTGCCACATCCTGTTTTGGGTTTTTGTTCTTTTGTTTTGTTTTTTTTTTTTGGGAGGGGGAGGATCTTTTTTTTAGACTTAGGTTATTTTGGAAATAATTTTCAGATCACCAGATATGTAACTCACCTGACAGTGTTATTACTCTAAGGTGAACCTTATTTTTAACATATGAGAACGTGCTGTATTTTTTGAAGTATTTCCATTCGTAAATGAAACCACAGTTCCATGCTGACAGACTTCAGCTCTCACTTGCAATCTCATTCTTTTCTTTGCTTCTTTCTTCTTTTTTTTTTTTTTTATCTTTTTTTTTTTCTCTAAGGTCGTCTTCTGAGATCTTAACAGTAAAAGAATTGCACTGGGTTGTATTCCTCTAACCTCACTGGGTACTTTTAATCATTTCTCAATAAGTCAAAGTCAGAATGAACTTGCTTTTGTAAAAATTGGTTGAAGATGATCAGAATCACAGCATTTCACTTTAAAAATCAGTAGTATTTATCAGTAGTATTTATCAGTAGTATTTATTTTCAGTGTAGCAGGGCTTCAGAGCTCCAGATATATACAAGCACTCCGGTATATTGGGTGCATTACAGAAAGCTCAAGAAAAGCAGTTAAAAATGAATGGGATTTGTGGCACTAAATAGCTACCCTTCCTTGGAGGATGTGATCTAACTGAGTGCATTTTGGTGTGATGAGTGTTACTGTCTCTCCTTTCATCTGTACAGCATATATGTTCTACTGCTGAAATGCCAGTGGTACAGATGCTATAGTTAGGGGCAGAACTCAGACATTTAAAGGTTCTCCTGGTAGCTGTCTGAGCTGCAGGTGCCCCAGCGTGTGCTGGCACCCAAGGGATGGGGCATGCTGTGTGCCAGCCGAGCTTTTCCTCCACCTCAGTACAGCACTGACACGCATTCTGGTTTTGCTGATGAAACTCATGTATATCATTCTTTTTTGTCCAACCCCACAGCTGAAGGCTGACGAAAGGATCATCAAAACAGAGCATGGGCTGCTGATCCGCAGTTTGCAAAGAAAGGATGCAGGAGCCTATTTCTGCAAAGCCCAGGAGCACACCTTTGTCCATACCATTGTGAAGCTGAATTTAAACGTCATTGAGAACGGGCAAATGGAAAGCACTCAGAAAACTGAGGATGAGGAGGGCCGGGTGAGGGATCTGCTGACGGAGTCCCGGCTGAGGTACAAGGACTACATCCAGCTCGTCAGCAGCCCCAGCTTTAGCCTGGATGAGTACTGTGAACAGATGTGGCACCGGGAGAAACGGCGGCAGCGGAACAAAGGTGGTGCCAAATGGAAGCATGTGCAGGAGATGAAAAAAAAGCGAAACCGAAGACACCATGAGCCAGCGAGGCCACCGTCTACATAGTTTGTAAATGCTATTTAAAGAAAGGACATTTTCCATGAAAAAAAATACTGTGTTTTGGTTTTGTGCATCTTGCCTATAAATTAGTACTGCTTCTTATTGAAATGAGATAACTCACCATCACTATTAATCTGTATGAGACTGTACAATGGGATTTAATACCAAATGAGAAGTTCCTTATTGGAGTACCATACACCAGGCAATAATTTCAAATGCATTTGTTAAAAAGAAAAGATGTACACTTTTAGCTAATTTCTGGGTAGCCTGAGGCTGTGTGAGCTGTGTTCTGTACTTCCTCCATAATTTTCACATAAGATTTAGTGTCCGTGTTCCCATATTAATATTTGCTGGCACATTCCACCCCAGAGGTGGCTACATTTCAGGGGAGGGAAGATGTACTTCTAGTTCTTTGGCATCTTTCTGAATAAAAAGCATGGTAGAAATGTGTGACAGATCTGCAAAAATACCCTCTAATTTACCCGCTGGTCTTGTATACAGGCACACGGGTGGGGTTTGCTAGCACAGAGAGGCTCAGCAAAAAATCAAATTAAGTATTGGCTTAGGAACAACATTCATTCTGCCCATAAAAAAAAAGAGAAAGCATAATCATAGTTTAAGAGAGGGGAATTATCAAGCGTTACTCATTAGAGTTTGAATAGCCACCAGTTTGCAGTCCATCTGCTGAAATGAAATGTTGACTCTAATTGAAACTGCCTCTGAGATGTTTGGGAGTAAATTTCCTAAGTGGTCCGTGGGAGGTATGTGCACAAATCCTATTAAGAAATAATGGGATTCCTGCCTGGACCTCTCCTATCTCTCCAAACGTTTGACTCTGTTTCTCTGGCCCTTTGCTAGCTTTGTTTTACGCAAAGGAAAAGAAAAATAAAAGACAACAACAAAGCTAAAATGAAAGACGATGAGGGAAAAGAGTTAGTGGCTGAGACCAGTACTCTTGACACAGACCTGACATTCCTCAGATGTGTGTATTCTTTGGGATTTTCTCCCAAAGGCCTTATGTATTTTAAGTTGAAAATTTGCATTGTTGGAATTAATACTTTTATTATAATTAAATAAAACAAAAGATGTCTGTGTGTAAATAAAACCTATAAGTTAGAAATTTGCTATATACCATAATTTCATTTGTAAAGTGTTCCTTGTTCCTTGGTTCATATTTTGGTTTTAATAGCGTAATTTTTTCCATATAGGCAAGAAACACTGGCCTTATTCTTGTCTATTTTACATTAATGTGATTTAATGGAATTTATTTCTGATATGCAGCAGCAAACACGAGCTTCAAATCAGGCCTACTGTCTCTTCTCATGAGTCACAACCCCCCTTTCCTCTCTTCCATCTAACCTCCCTCCGTTTTGCCTTTCACGCCTTTTTGAGTGTGAAATGACAAATTAGCCACTTCCTCACATGGAAGAGAGCTTTGATGGATACCAAAACGACAGACTTTACTTGTTTCTCATGCATTCTACAGATCTTGAGAGCAAAGTCTGTGGGAAACCCGTGTAATTGGTGTGCACCTCGTTAAGGAACTGAAAATGTTGGCTCTGAAAGTTGTAGATTCACCGTTGCCCATGCTGGTGTTTGTGTGCGCATTCAGTCCCTCATTGATAATTGTGTAGATCCAATTTGCATTATTGTTCATTTCCTCTCTGTTGAAAGGCAGATATGGTGAAGTGTTTGTCAGATTTCAGAAAGGAATCTCAGCTTACCCACGTTTCTTGTAAAAACTGAAAGCTGAGTTTGCATGTGTTGTATAAAAGCCAGCGATACCATATGTCATTAAGTTTAGATGCTTTTTTAATAGGAGATGTATGAGTTAATTAGGAGATATTAGATAGCATGCGTACAATGCTTTGATAGTGTAAAGCACTGAGTGCTAAACATTATAAAATATGGCTGTGGGGAGGAGGGAATTTCTCAGCACAGGACCTTTAATCAGCAGAGAGACTGATGCTGAAGATACTAACCAGTCACACAGTACTTAGAGAACAAGCAGAGAACTTTTCAGAATTTTTGCTGCAAAATAACAAAGGCCAGGCATTTCACAGGAGGCTCATCATTTTGGGTACCTTGATTTTAAGGCCAATTAAGGCTACTTAAAGGAGGTTATGAGGGGGTACTACATATACTACTACATATAAAGCACTCTAAGACAGGGATACTCAACATTCTTGGCTGGTAGGTTTTGCTGTCAGCATACAGAACCCGCTCAATTATTCTTTATTAGATTTTTATCAGTCCACAAAGTCTCATTTCTCTGACTTGAACATAAAGTAAATGAGTGGAACCACACCAAGGCTATGGAGTAACAGGTGGTCCGCATTTGCGTGCCCTGACAAAGGGCCTAGTCTTCTTCCCCATGATGATGCAGTACTTAAATTATGGCATTTCAGACAACTCTCATCACATGTTTGCCAATTTCATAAGCAGACAGATCGATTCCTTCTTCCATATTTTTTCTCCTCCATGAAAACTAAATCATCTGATTTATGTTTAGATATGATTGGAGGTATGTATTCTCCAAATGACCTCCCCCCCTGCTGACTTTAGTAGAAGTCTGGGATGACTAAGGGTCTCAGTACTGGGAGCATTAGATTTAAATGGTTGAATTAAAATGTTATTACACTTAAAAAAAACCACTTTCATTTCTTTTATTTCTAATGTTGCTGAAATGAGATTCTTCTTAAAGAAATGACCTCATCAGTCCAGGGTACAGTGGTAGTGTAAAACCCCAAGTGAGATATAAGGCCACTTCCATCATGGGAAATAAATTCAATATCCTCCAAACCAGTGTGCCATACTGGGTTCATGCCACCCCAGGGAGCGTACTTGATAATGCTCCATAGACAAAAGTCTGTGTTTTGATACGTTGGGTAAGATGTAGACTGTAGCTGGCAGGGCTAGCCCAGCTCCTCATGCACAACGGGTATTACACATGCAAGGAGGCCAGAGGACCTTGGAGACCAGGGAGTGAAAAGGACACATCAGGGATCACTACAGAAGGTAAGACAGTGTTTTGTTAGGCAGGACTCAGCAATGCAAACCCAGGAGTAGGAGCAGGAGGAGCAGTGGGTCTTTCCTCAACCTGCAGTCGCAGACTATGAGCCAGCCCAGAAACTGTAACAGGAGAGGATCTCCCTCTTTTCCAAAAATTTCATCTTCTGTATAATTTAAAGACTCAACTCTGAGTCTGCTTAAATTTCAAACCAATGATTTGGGGGGTCAGCTGGACTGCTGTGAGCTGTACTATGAGCCACAACAGGCTCATAGTTAAAATGAAACTGAGCCTTGCCTCCTTCAAGAGCTCAATAAAAATGAAGTTAAACAAAGTTTTGGTCCAGAATGGAAAAAAATTGCTTCCACCTTAATAACTGTAGGTTTTAAACAGATCCCTTAGCGCATATGATACAACATAGATATTTATTTACATATGCATTCAACCGCGAGTCCAATTATTAATACATTATCTTTTCACTCAACAAAACCTTTCCATTGACCCTACTTCAGCAAAAGGCCAGTGTTGGACTGAACTGAAGTGGTTTCAAACAGATTCTTAGAATAACCAGCACAATGTGAGTTGTAGTTATAAAAATGCTGAAAACTGACATAAGCTTTAAAGCCCAACAGGGCCCTAAACTTTGTAGCAATCTTGCAGTCAGTTAAAATAAAACAGAAAATGGGATTAGCAGAAAAAGGAATAAAGTATTAACACTTATTGTGATAAACTAGTTCCGTTACTGGAAATTGTTCCAACAACAGGTGTGAATGTGTGTTCATGCCATAAGCAAATACTTTTCTCTCCAAGCAGTTAAACTTACATTGCTTGAGGTATCTAAGAACCTGAATATTTTCCAATTCATACGTAGATTTTCGGCCTAGTTCTTACGTCACTCATAATGTAGTAAATAGGTTAAATGCAACAGATTTCCTCTGGTTCATGTGCTTTTGAGATCAGAAGATCCAGACAGTTCAAATGCTATGAACACTTTAATCTAACCATTATGGGTATTGATCTGCATTTAACATTTCAGATGATGAATAATTGTTTGTTATTATTACTCATTACTCATGTAATGAGCCTGTGTCTCATAATAATGTCTCAATATTTGATAACGACTAATGGAAATTGAGTTTGGTAATGTTTTGTCATATGAGCATGTGTGTATAGGAGTGCATACACAAATGTCTTATTTTCTGTTCATTTACTAGCAGAGGTTAATTTGCAAAAAGCATATGTGATTTCAAAAGTCAAGGTTCAGCTCAGCTTCCACTGACAGCAGAGATTAAAATCCTTTTGCAACTGAATTGAAGCCTGAGTAGACTGTAGTGTATTTACAGTCTGGTACTCATATACCCAAAGCTATGTGGTGTTCTGTAGAGTACATTGGCCTGGTTCTTCTCGCACACAGTTGTAGATGAGATGTGGAGGTCTGAGGAATTACATCTGCATGAATGGAAAATTAAGCCCACGTGTCTCTCTCATATATTTTGTTACATTTTATAAACTTTAAATGGTCTCTATTGTAACATTTTACCATAGTGTTGCTAGTATTACCCTGAACTAGGCTTCTGTCTTCAGCTGAAGTGTGACATTCTTTGCAGTTGTAATCCAGATTTCGAGGTTTGTAAAATAAGTTCATTACAGGATCAAAAAAAGAAGGCATGGGAAAAGAGTTTAATCATTCTACAAGGCAGATTTGTAAGATTTTATATCTATTTATCAAAATAGTAGGTATCCTAAAATGCGTTAGAAACACCAGTATTTGGTTTTTTTTTTTTTTTTTTTTTTTTTTTTTTTAAGCAGGTAAGGATACATAACAAATTGTAATCTTGAGTTTATCACTTGTGAACGTGTGGCTGAAACATCTGGTCTGACAGCTGTAGAAAGACTGGATTTTTACTTGCTTGTTTCTTTCTTCCATCAGTTAAGCCCTTTGCCTCCTGCCTTTGAGACTCTCTGGTCTGTCAGGTAACCCCACTTTTATATGGAGGAGTACTTTGAGATCTGGTGTTTCCTCGACATATAAACATCCTTACGAAGTTGTTGTATCACAGTCTGCCTTCAGATGATGACTTTCCTTTGCATTAACTTTTGCATTCAGTTGCAGATGCAAACCAAGCACTGTGAAGTCAATTGGAGACCAGATGGGGTTTTCATTTACAAAGGAAATTTTTGGGACTGTTGCTTAGAGCTCTCCTTTCTCCTTTTGCTTATGTGGTTGCTGCGTATAATTCTCCAATTTAAAATCAAAGTCTTTTGTGCTTTAAAGCATAAGATTTTCCATGTGATGTAAAAACCAGAAGAACATTTCCAGGTGATTTTTTTGATTGATATGGACTGCTGGTTAATAGTTTCAAACAGTACAAGCCAAGGAAATCATCTGTCCAGCCATGGATGGCTGTGATATTTGTAAGGAGCCCAGACACATCTCAGTTTTGGTGGTGTTTCATATTCTGTTCCCTTCCTCTTATGGTATATAAGTGTTTTGGCTGGTTTGGGTTTTTTTTGGGGGGGGGGGCAGGGGGAAGGGAAGGGGGGGTTGTTTTGTTTTTTTTTTTTGTTTTGTTTTTGT